AATAGGTTTTATTAAAATTGAAATTGAAAATTGTTATTTATAAGCAGAATTCTTGTTATAAACTATAGGGAACTCTTTGAAATCTCTTTAAAATCAAGCGAGAACACTTGCACTATCGCAAGTTTTGCAACTATCTCGGGGCTCATTGGCACGTAACATTGGTTACTCTTCCAGTATGCGATTGGATTAATAAAGACTTATGCGTTTATTGCGATCAATACAGCGTTCAATACAGGGTGTCCCGTAACGCTTAATTAATATTTCAAGGCGTAAAAGAGAATGAAATTTTGAACTAAAAGTTCCTCTTTCAATTTTGGCTCAGACCATTATTTACAGAGTTAGAGAGACCATTAACGAATAAAGTTAATCAATCAGATCGCGCTTAGCCGGAGTACGCAGGAGCGTAGCGTGTCGTACGTGCGGTTCTTCGCGCTCACTTCACAGGAGAATGTATGTGAAGTGAGCGCGAAGAGCCGCACATACGGCACGCTACGCTCCTGCGTACTCCGGCTAAGCGCGATCTGATTGATTAACTTTATTCGTTAATAACTCTGTAAATAATGGTCTGAGCCAAAATTGAAAGAGGAACTTTTAGTTCAAAATTTCATTCTCTTTCACGCCTTGAAATATTAATTAAGCGTTACGGGACACCCTGTATATCGACACGTTGATTAATTTCAGTCGTGAAGAAATTTGCCACCGTTACACCGTATGCGTACTGCAGGCAGTCTATGCCAGCTAACAATAAATTATCCCAATAATTGTTTTATAACTCTTACGAAAAAAAAACTTGTGGCACTATTGAAATGACAATTAATGAATAACTATTAGTGCACACATCAATAGTAATTTTGCGCACTGTTGGAATTTGTATTAGTAGTGTTAATTAATTACTATTGATGTAGTATGATGTACTATATATTGATGTACTAATAGTTACTCAATGCATACAGAATGTATATAACCAAAAATAATTAAAAATAAACGATTAAATAAACGTTTATGAAACCAAAATAAAAATCATAATAAGACTTAAGGTGATTTTATTGTTCAACGCCAACTCGATAGTGTGACGTTGCCACATAAACGTCATACAATCGCATATGTATGTGAAATGTTTTTATTGAATTATTAGTCATATGGAGGGACTAGCTTTTGACTGGGATTTGCACAATAAAACCACCTTAAAAAAAACAATTTACGGTGTTTTCAAGAAGATCATTCCCCCTAAATAAATATTCAACATCTAATCCAAGCTCCATGACCGCTATCAACGTTGCTTGACTTCTTTGATCGAGAACTGCAGACACTTCGTGATGATCCATTATTACTCAATGTTAATGAATATACATACATCCCTGATAGATCGTATTAATAAAGTTATTAAAAAAATAAAAAAATTTTTTTTTATTAATGTTAATAGGATACTGCAGTAGTGTTAAATACTAATAGTATCACTGCAGTAAAGCTGAACACTATTAGTGTCACTAAAGATGTGTTCTATTTCATACATTATGCACTTGATGATAATCATCATTCAATCGTATCATTTTATCCTGGTTTAATATTCAGTGAAAACCAAAAATAAAATGATACATAATCTACATCATGCCTGAAATGGACTCTAAGCATCACTAGTGTAGTAGCAAACAAGTATTTACTGCAGTAGTGCTGAAACACTATTAGTACTATTACACACTGTACAGAATGTGCACTATTAAGGCGTAATCACACTACAGATTGCGGGCTCTGTTGCGGTTAAGATTACGGTTGAGTGTTGGAAATCAATCAATCAGAGCGAACCAGTTCGTCGGTTGGGTTACAGGTTATGATTTAGACACGATTCTATTTTTCAACCTTGCAGTTACAACCGTATCCAATATATTATTTATATTCTCGGCAGGTTATGTATTACGTAGTGTATGTATGTACGTAGTACGTAGCTGTGATTATTTGCAATGCCTCCCAAAATGAATATATGGTCTAATGAGGCCGAGCAATTATTAATAGACTTAGTAGAAACAAAAAGAATATTGTGGGACATTACAGAACGTCTTAATTTATGTTTTTCCTTAACTGCTACAAGAAATAGTAGACAACACGCACGTACAAATCTACGTTTTCGTTCTTTTATAATAAATTCAATGATTGTTGACATGGTTATAATTCAGAAAAGCAGAAGATAAAGGTTATCAAAGTCGGTACAGCCAATCTGTAGTGTGATTGATCAATCTGCAACTGTTAACCGTAATCCTAACTGCAACCGAGCCCGCAACCTGTAGTGTGATTACGCCTTTAGGTTGGTTTAATATTGCACACTTCTGTACACTAGTGGTTTGTACTATTTAATGATTGGTATAAGAATAATATATACTGTTAAATGTTTGCAATAGTGGCTATTTCGGTAGTTCTTACCAGGGTTGGGTTTGATACGCACTCTAGAGGTTTTCTACGTATCCTACGTATGATTGCGTATCATACGTAAGATACGTATTAAACTATGTATGATACCTTCAATATTAACCTTAGTCTTAAATCATTTTTGTATTTTTTTAAAAGAATTAGTTTATAAAAGAATTAGAATAGATCGGAAGAGC